CTCCCCATGGGCCCTGGGGACACCCCTGTCCCCCATGCTGACCCCTTGGCCCCGCAGGAGCCCACAGACCACTGTCTGGCCCCAGAGGGACGCGGAGCACAGCACGTACGTGTGGGTGACCCTGGGCACACGGGTGGGTGACCCCCCTGGGTGGTGCTGTGGGGCTGAGCGGTGCCTTGCAGGAGTGTGGGGGCAGCGGAGTGGCTGGAGACAGGGCGACTGGCACTCTACCTGCTGGGGCTACGAGCCACCTGTCTGCCCCCTGAGCAAGGTTCTAAGGGCTTCCTGGTGACGTGGCTCAAGTACTACCTGGAGAAGGACTGGACGGGTGAGTGTGCCCACGGGGCGAGCACTGCATGCCCAGCTGTGGGACACCAGCTTGCCCCAGTGACACCACACTCATCCCCAGGCTCCCTGCAGCTCGGCCACCCCCACACCAATTACTACCAGTACGGGTTGGGTGTGCTGGCACTGTGTGTGCATGGCAAACGTGTGCCCGAGAAGGTGATCCGCCGGCTCCTGGCAGCACAGCACCACAGCAGGCTCAGGCATGGAGGCAGCGCTGTGGGTAAGGGCCCGTGGGGTGGGCAGTGGCACCCCAGGTGTGTGTGTGACTCCTGGAGTGACACTGGGGTGTCCCTGCAGACATGGAGGCAGTGGCAGCACTGGCCTTCACCTGCCTGGAGCGGAGGCACCTGGTGCGGGGCAGGCTGGGCACAGAGCTGCGCAAAGCTGTGCAGAGGACACGCAAGAGCATGGCCCAGGCACAGGGCATGGACGGGGTCATTGGCAACATCTACAGCACCCCTTGGGCTGTGCAGGTGGGTGTCACCTGTGGGGGCTGCGGGCTGGGCATGGGGCAGGGTGGAAGGGGGGCTGCAGGCACAGATGTGTGTGGAGGGACAGGCCTGGGGTTGGGTGCAGGTGCAGGTTGGGTGCAGTTGCACATGCAGATGTGGGTGCAAGTACAGGTGCAGATTGGGTGTAGGTGCAGATGTGGGTGTAGAGATGCAGGTACAGGTGCAAATGTGGGTGTAGATGCAGATGTGGATGTAGAGATCCAGGTGCAGATGTGGGTGTAGATACAGATGTGGGTGTAGAGGTGCAGATGCAGATGTGGGTGTAGATACAGATGTGGGTGTAGAGGTGCAGGTGCATGTACAAATGTGGGTGTAGATACAGATGTGGGTGGAGAGGTGGAGGG